CTAGCGCTGAACAGGCAAAGAGAAATGGTAGAAGCAAATCCGACTCGTCCAGATCTAAATCACTGGGAGACATTGTAGAACCCCTGAATTCTGAAAGGCTCAGACCAATTAGACAGAAGACCAGAAATGCTGTGGTTAGCATTCTAGACGACGGAGAAGTTGCTTTGGAGTTTTTTCATCGCAAGAATGGAGAAGACAAAGTTTTCGAGGTGCTGAGAATTTCACAGAATGGGATGAAGATAACTGTATACCAGCCTAATGGAAAGACAGGGGTCCCTCTATCATCACAACCCCCTCCACCCTCGGGGTGTGACTCCACATGTAGCTATCTGTTCTCCAACTTGCCCTCTAAGTACTGGAAAAAGTACCAGTATGCTACGAGGTTTGTTCATCTTGTGCGCAAGAAAACACCGAAGGTAAACATTATTGTTAGTCCCTTTTTTCGCAGACATGAAATTCAGCACGCTTGGCAGTTTTTTCAGTCCACTGAATGCTTGATTTTTACCTTGCAGGTCACAATGTATTCCAAGCATGCAAAATGCATGCTTATGGAAAATTTTCCAAATGCTGATTTTGAAGTGTGCTTTTATAATGGTAGGTGCCAGACAGAGTGTTACTTATGTCAAGGTATAGTGGCCAGAAAAAATATCGGCCATTTTGACTAAGGTTGTACGTACCTTTTGTGGGACCGGGTCGGTTTTGTGGCGTATTGCACCATAGGACTGTTTTAAAGGACAAATTTTGAGCCCGTCTTCTGTGCAACCTCGTGACAACCAATAAGAGGCTAGGAAATATCCAAACTCTCTCATAGTGTAAGTCGACATAACACTGACCCAGTCTCCCCCTCAACCCTAAAAATGGCCAGTACCCTAGGACTTATTTTAACGTTTTACTTGGCAGTCACACAATGCTATTTTGTTATTCCCCGAGGCAAAGGGCTCAATGTAACTGATCCACTCACTCACTCACTAACCCAACCTCTTCATCCCCGCTGGACAAAGGGCGGCTGTTCGCAATCAAACGTCGCCACTGCAACTCAACCCTGCCATGTTAGACCCAACTCCTCCAGCTCTCACATCAGTGTTTTCCGCCAATGTATTTGAAACAATGTATTTTAAAAACACTTATCGACTGGTTCCGAGGGAAACAGTTAATTTTGTCCGCCTCGGGAAACATTGAGATTCGAGGGAAACAAAATTAACTGTTTCCCTTGGGGCAAGTCTTTAAGTGATTTGTTATATAGAGGGAAATTTGAAAGCTGGAAATTCATTAAACCTCGCTGTAACGGCGGTTGTCGGTCAACATTCGCGGGTAACAGTGCACTGTTACCCTGTGACGTCATAGATGTTTGCAATGTTGCCCACTCAGAGATTTTGGCGGAAAACAGTTTCATTGTTCGATGTCATATGACCTCGAAGTAACCATTGAGAGAACGCACTGTTGGGAAAAAATTTCCAGCTGTATAGCAATTATTAATATTTTCTACAGGGGCTAAAGTGCACCAGTCACAGGAGTGCACGCGGATAATCGAGCCAGGCGGAGTATCATACACGTTGGAATCAGTAGGAGGTCTGGATGGTGTGACTCAGGATATGAAACCGTTGTTAGAGCATGCTCAGAATTGCTATCATCAGTGTGTGCATCTAGAGAGAGTCATTAATAAGGAAGAAAGTGAAAGTAGCGGAGGACAGTACTTTCCATTCATTGTGTGCCGCAAACCACCTGTGTCGAGAAATAAGTCTCTGAAAGGAAACGATGGACTTACCGAAGCACACAATCCTAGGTACGTAAATATGTTTTGTGATTTNTAACCATTGAGAGAACGCACTGTTGGGAAAAAATTTCCAGCTGTATAGCAATTATTAATATTTTCTACAGGGGCTAAAGTGCACCAGTCACAGGAGTGCACGCGGATAATCGAGCCAGGCGGAGTATCATACACGTTGGAATCAGTAGGAGGTCTGGATGGTGTGACTCAGGATATGAAACCGTTGTTAGAGCATGCTCAGAATTGCTATCATCAGTGTGTGCATCTAGAGAGAGTCATTAATAAGGAAGAAAGTGAAAGTAGCGGAGGACAGTACTTTCCATTCATTGTGTGCCGCAAACCACCTGTGTCGAGAAATAAGTCTCTGAAAGGAAACGATGGACTTACCGAAGCACACAATCCTAGGTACGTAAATATGTTTTGTGATTTTTGTTCCTTTTCAATAGGAAGTGAAGATTCTCTTCCCTTTAAACACTTGTGAAGGCATTCATTTTAACGTTAATGAAAATCTTGTTCCACCTCCCCCACCCCCCCATACTTCCACCAAAATAGTTTCATAATCCAACATTTTTGCGAAAAATGCCGCCTCCAAAACGAGTAAGTTAATGTTCTTCAAACGATCGAAGTGAGGCTTAGTTAATGCTCAACAAAAGCAAACAAACAAACAAACGGGAGCAAAGAATCGAACGTTGTGGGGTGGAGAGAATGCGACAGGTAATAGTCGAGGGCCGAGGGGGCAATCTTGCGTACTGTGCATGCTCGAGCGTCGAAAGCCGTAATCTGATCTCATAATGTAACATCAGGAATAAAGGTTAAGGACTGTCACTGTTGGCTAAGATTTCTTGTTGCCGGCTATATGCAATTAGAAAACGGGGAATTGATCTTCTAGGAAGTTTCTGTGTCTACTTTTCTTTTTTTGCTTATGAAAGTTTCAGAGGTCATGTTCATAGTGGCCGGAAGGAATCCCCGGCCCTTTGTGGCAGCCCTGCAGTATTTAAGTGTAACGAGCAAAGCTTGAAGTGGCGGCGAGGGTGAGGGTGAGGTTGTCCCATCACTAAGGGTGTCACAGCGAAGGCAGCCTTGTCGAGCGTTAAGAGCGCTGGACTTGTAATTCGGAGGTCACAAGTTCAAGTCCCGCCCTGACCGCTAGCTGGATTTGCTCACGGTAGTCCCGAGTTCAAATACCCAGCCAAGTCTGTAAAGGCCAACTGGCTCGCCTCCTACCAGTTGGGATTTTATTTTATTTTCGAGGGGAATGTAAGCTACTGACAGGGTTAGTACAGAGTCTTGAATTCTTGAAATTTGCCCAGCAATTTTCCAGGCTGGAAAAAGTCTCCAAAATAGAGATAGAGTCTTGAAAAAATGGTAAAAAGCCTTGAGTTCTTTTAAAAGCTACAACAAGTGCTTTACAAGTGATTTTTGTTTTCGTGTTGGTCAAATCTTATTCAATTTCGCTAGTACGTTTGCAGCGCATCATCGAAAAAACTTTGTTCCTGCGTTTTTTTAAGGTCTCTATTGATCACCTATTTGATAACCTTGAGTCTGGAAAAATAAATTATTGTTTTGGAAAAAGTCTTGAAAAAGTCTTGAATTTTGGATTCAAAAATCTGTACGAACCATGTACTGGGTTACCAGTAATGCTACCCTATAAAAGCCTTAATCCTTTTGTTTTTCTTAATCTCTTCATGAGTAATTGAAAGGTGGCGAGTCCACTTTTTTACTACGAATGTTCCCAGCATGGGTTTCTAACCTAAGCTCTTGCTATGCTGTTTCATCAGACCCCCTGACTCCATGGGCAACATAACAGTTACTGCTACATCGCCTAGCACCGTAGCCCCAGTCAGTACCTCTCTACTGTCATTCGATGGTACTGTAGCAAGTGTGTTCCACAATACAAGGTCATCTACAGCATGCAATGATCACAAGCTGGGGAGACGATCACAGTCTTGTGATGATGAGTCATCTGAGAAGGCTGCTAGATCAACATCTGAGAAAGGGAGAATTCAACAGAGCCAGCTAACGACCAAGGAAACTAACAAGCTGGGGTCAATCTCGTCATCATCGTCTCACGTTATAAAGAGCGTTTTTGTCCAAGGTGTTGGGTGGGCTTCCCAGGTGAGCTCAAATAGGAACATTAGACCCAAAAGGTCTAGATAGCAGCAACAATATAGATAGTCGTATAAACATAACAACTTTCTTCAATTTTCCAGACATGTTTTGACGGTACATCCGTCATCTTCAGTGTTACATATTTTGAAATCGCCGTTTAATTTAAATATGTAACACTGAAGATGACGGATGTACTTTCGAACCATGTCTGCAAAATTAAAGAAAGTTGTTAGTTTATACGACTATCAACATTAGAGACCTTTAGATTCGAAGACGAGAACGAGATTTGACTTCAAGTTTTTTCGCGTATTCTCAAAATATAGACTCCCCGGAAAGCTTCATTTTACCATTTTTCACTAGAAAAGTTAGCACTGTTACCTTAAGTGAAGGAGGTTGCACGCTGTCCTGATCGCAAAATGATAAAACTTCTAACATTTGATAACTTGTTTCTGCTACTTCGACATTCTCGTAAGACTCATAGTAGAGTGACGACGGCTACTACGTTTCCCGCCAAAATGACGCTGGTTCACGCGCTAGCACTACTTAGTACGGAGAAAATCTCGTACTCGTAGTCGTACTCGTCTTAGAATCTAAAGGTCTCTGTTAGAACAGCCCCAGGAGTGACCAAAATCAATTTTCTCCTAACGATATCAATACATTTTTCAGAAAAAGAGGTTATAAGAATCAATAAAATGATCACCAAAGAGAAATATTTTTGATCTTTCATCATTCTCTCAACTATGTAATTCTTTAAGGAAATGTATGAGGATCACTCTGGAGAATTTTTTTGTGGATTTTGCGGCTTAAATGATTTATGTTTTTATTTTTTTTAGATGAAATTAAGTTTAGTTTTTCTAAAACAAATTAAAATCCTGGACGACATTTATTTTTTTTTTATTGACCGGTAGTTGTCCACTGGAGAGGTATGGATCCAGTACAATGATGGATCTCAGATGGTTGTTCAGTCCTCTGTTACAAGTATCAAATATACAGACAGCGGTGGCACAGTAACAAGGTATCCTGTGCATCGATTTTCATTTTTCTTTTGTTTGATTTCCATCACAGTCACACTGAAAGTCAGAGCACATCTGATCAGAAAACAGGTTCTTACACTAAAGACCTAATGCGTGGAACAGACGTGGCTCGCCCGTCCTCGTTAGGCTACAAGACTGCAGAGTCCGCGTCCTGGCTCTCCAATATAACAACTTCGACATTTAGAAACAAGCAACCAAAAGACAAGGAAACCGCACCCAATACTGGAAACAGCCTGATCGCAAAATTCAGGTTAACAAATAGTTGTTGCTTGTTATGTGTTTATGACTGCAAAGATTCGCTTATTGGATAGATGTTACTTGACGGGGAGGGGAGAGCAGGGAGCGGGGAACGAGTACGGGGACCCTGAAAGTGAAAAATGGGGACAAAACAGAGAATTGGAAATGAAATTACTGATAAGGCTTACCGGCTAGGGTTCAAGGTAGGACACCTATGATACTGAGATGATGCTTTACCCATCTTGTTTTCCCATCTTGTTGGTGTTATTTCTTTTCAGGAATTACAATGCCAGCAAATACAGCAGCTCGTGTGGTAACACACTTGGAGACTTCCTCAAGAATGCAACTAATGGTGTTAACACTAGCAGTAGTGGATTCAGTAGCACAGAGCCAAACATGAATCGACAAGAACAGCATCACCGACCAGGTGATCTCAATAATGGCACTGGTTACCAACAGATACCGAGTAATGTCAGTAGGTCAGACTGTGAAGAAACAGCAGAAAGGAGTGATTATCAACAACATCGACGACGTGGTAGTGACAGTGTCACGAAAGACTCCGGTCTAGACTTCTCTCATATTCAGGAAACGGGCATGCATGAAAAGCATTCTAGCGCTGAACAGGCAAAGAGAAATAGTAGAAGCAAATCCGACTCGTCCAGATCTAAATCACTGGGAGACATTGTAGAACCCCTGAATTCCGAAAGGCTCAGACCAATTAGACAGAAGACCAGAAATGCTGTGGTTAGCATTCTGGACGACGGAGAAGTTGCTTTGGAGTTTTTTCATCGCAAGAACGGTGAAGACAAAGTTTTCGAGGTGCTGAAAATTTCACAGAATGGGATGAAGATAGCTGTATACCAGCCTAACGGAAAGACAGGGGTCCCTCTATCATCACAACCCCCTCCACCCTTGGGGTGTGACTCCACATGTAGCTATCTGTTCTCTAACTTGCCCTCTAAGTATTGGAAAAAGTACCAGTATGCTACGAGGTTTGTTCATCTTGTGCGCAAGAAAACACCGAAGGTAAACACTATTGTTAGTCCCTTTTTTCGCAGACACAAAATTCAGCACGCTCAGCAGTTTTTTTTCAGTTTACTTAATTCGTGATTTTTACCTCGCAGGTCACAATGTATTCCAAGCATGCAAAATGTATGCTTATGGAAAATTTTCCAAATGCTGATTTTGAAGTGTGCTTTTATAATGGTAGGTGCCAGACAGAGTGTTAGTTATGTTAAGGTATAGGCAAATCTTTGCTGATCTTTTTCCTAATTAGCGTACGACTTAACTCATTGAAGCCGTGGCCGTATATATGAACTAAATGCAAAAATTGAAAAAGCTGATTAAGTTGAGCAATTTGTGCAATTTTCAGCTCTTTGCAAGCAATATTGAAGGAAAGATATCAGCCATCAAAAACTGCGAAATTGCTGTGTGGCAACAAAGTTAATGAGCCATACATTATCTGTAACATTTTGAGTTTTTAGAAGAGAATTTCTCCGAAACCATTCGGTGTATTGGGCTCAAATTTTTAAAGATAACTGAAACTGTTATGTCCTTTCAATATTCAGAGTTTTTATTTTATTAGCGTCATCAGATAGTGATTAACATATGTTTATGAGGCAAAAAGTGTAAACAAAGATTCGCCTATAGTGGCCAGAACTCATATCGGCTATTTTAACTAAGGCTGCACGTGCCTTTTGTGGGACTGGGTCGGTTTTGTGACGTTTTGCACCATGGGACTGTTTTGAAGGACAAATTTTAATCCCGTCTCCTTTGCAACCTCGTGACAGCCAATAAGAGGCGAGCAAATATCCAAACTCTCCCATAGTGCAACTCGACATAACACTGACCCTGTCTCCCCCTCAACCCTAAAAATGGCCAGTACCCTAGGACTTATTTAAACGTTTTACTTGGCAGTCACACAATGCTATTTTGTTATTCCCCAAGGCAAAGGGCTCAATGTAACTGAACCACTCACTCACTAACCCAACCTCTTCATCCCCGCTGGACATAGGGCGGCTGGCCGCAATCAAACGTCGCCACCGCCACTCAACCCTGCCCTGAGCTTTGGTCTGCCTGAGTGCGCTTCGCCCCATGTTAAACCCAACTCCTCCAGCTCTTTCATCAATGTTTTCCGCCAATGTATTTGAAACACTTGCTATTCAACACTGAATGACTGGTTCCGAGGGAAACAGTTAATTTTGTCCACCTCGGGAAACATTGAGATTCGAGGGAAACAAAATTAACTGTCGTTTCCCTAGGGACAAGTCTTTAAGTGATTTGTTATAGAGCGGGAAATTTGAAAGCTTGTAACGGCGGTCGTCGGTCAACATTCGTGGGTGACAGTGCACTGTTACCCTCTGACGTCATAGATGTTTGCAATGTTGCCCGCTCAGAGATTTTGGCGGGAAACAATTTCATTGTTAGATGTCATGTGACCTTCAAGTAACCACTGAGAGAACGCCCTGTTGGGAAACATTTCCAGCTGTATAACAATTATCAATATTTTCTACAGGGGCTAAAGTGCACCAGTCACAGGAGTGCACACGGATAATCGAGCCAGGCGGAGTATCATACACGTTGGAATCAGTAGGCGGTCTGGATGGTGTGACACAGGATATGAAACCGTTGTTAGAGCATGCTCAGAATTGCTATCAGCAGTGTGTGCATCTAGAGAGAGTCATTAATAAGGAAGAAAGTGAGAGTAGCGGAGGACAGTACTTTCCATTCATTGTGTGCCGCAAACCACCTGTGTCGAGAAATAAGTCTCTGAAAGGAAACGATGGACTTACCGAAGCACACAATCCTAGGTACGTAAATATGTTTTGTGATTTTTGTTCCTTCTTCAATAGGCCGTGTAGATTCTCTTCCCTTTAAACACTTGTGACGGCATTCATTTTAACGTTTAATGAAAATATTGTTCCCCCCCCCCCCCCCCCCCCCCCCATACTTCCATCAAAATAGTTTCATAATCCAACATTTTTGCAAAAAATGCCGCCTCCAAAACGAGTAAGTTAATGTTCTCCAAACGAACCGAAGTGAGGCTTAGTTAATGCTCAACAAAAGCAAACAAACAAACGGGAGTAAAGAATCGAACGTTGTGGGTTGGAGAGAATGCGACAGGTAATAGTCGAGGGCCGAGGGGGCAATCTTGCCTACTGTGCATGCTCGAGCGTCGAAAGCCGTAATCTGACCTCATAACGTAACATCAGGAATAAAGGTTAAGGACTGTCACTATTGACTAAGATTTCTTTCTGCCGGGTATATGCAATTAGTAGGCGGGGAATTGATCTTCTAGGAAGTTTCTGTTTCTACTTTTCTTTTGTTGCCTATGAAAGTATCAGAGGTCATGTTCATAGTGGGCGGAAGGAATCCCCAGCCCTTTGTGGCAGCCCTGCAGTATTTAAGTGTAACGAGCAAAGCTTGAAGTGGCGGTGAGGGTGAGGTTGTCCCATCACTAAGGCTGTCACAGCGAAGGCGGCCTGGCCGAGCTGTAAGAGCGCTAGACTTGTAATTCGGAGACCCCGAGTTCAAGTCCCGCCCTGACTACTGGCTGAGTTTGTTCTCGGTAGTCCTGAGTTCAAATACTCGGCCAAGTCTGTAAAGGCCAACTGACTCGCCTCCTACCAGTTGGGATTTTATTTTATTTTTGAGGGGAATGTAAGCTACTGACAGGGTGCGTACAGAGTCTTGAA